ACCTACTAGTTTGAGACCATTCTATTTCATGTCAAATTTCTACCTTGTGTTCGGCCACTTCTGACCGTTGGATCCAGCTACCTTTGCAAGCCTTTTTGTGTTTACTAATCTTTGTCGAATAGGTCGGCATGTCTCACCAACATAACATCGACCACATGAGCAAACGATCTTGTAGCAGCTGGATCTCGATAAGGGGTCATATTTCTCTCTAAATGATGGCATAACAGAATAAAGTGTTACTTAAACTATTTATGGTCCTCTTCAGCTTAGTAATCTTGAAGTTTCGTATGCCATTCCATTTATGTAAATTCGATTGCATATCGTTTTAATTTTAGATCTGTTTTCGAGGCATTTATTTTTTATTTATATTCTCATTTGATAAAGCTGAACCGACAATATATCCTGACTCTGAAGCGCATCAAATTGCTGACCAAATAGTCAATTCATCCAACTTAACGGATATCAGCCTGAATTTACTCTCTACTTCTGCGCCGTCCGAAACCTGTTTTTTTATTGAATCCTTATCAAACGCAAACCCCTCGATTCAGCCCAATCATGCTGGATCTTTTGAACTCCATTATGCCCCCCATTCTTCTAATCTGCCGATTGAGCCACGCCCAATCTCATCCGTCTCCGAATCAAAAATGCCGCCAAACACTTCCGAAATACGACATAGTTCCTCTATCAACCAGCTACCTTTCCTTGTAAACGGCCCACCTTTATCTCATAATTTGGCTGAAGAGGTACCTTTATTTACTAATGCCACAACGCAATCTTTTATTTCGCGAGCGGCGACCAAAATGTCTCCGCCTCTTTCAACAGGATCACTTTCGCCAGTCGACCCACCACATCGTGGCCGACCCGTTCTGCTGACGGTACTGACAGCCGACCGCTGCCGGCCACATCGTGGGGAACATACGGGCTGTTGGGGAACTCTGTATAACCCAGGCTCACAACTTAATAAATTAGAATCTACGCCTGGAGAAGCAATGGCATTAGAAGGCTGTACTAGTGATCCTGGCACACTGGGGGATGATGTCACCTTTTTTGTCGAAACGCATGACGTTGATGCGACGGCAGTTGAAGTGGAGTTTTATTTGGAAGCTTCACAGTTAAATGAAGCCAAGGAAATAAGCTCTTTCCAAGGTATTGGTGGTGTGGATACTACTGATACTAATGCTCATATTCTTCCTATTGCATTTGATCACTTATACATGCGAAATGCTACTTATAACTAAACATTATTTTACCAATTTTCTTTGCCTAATTTTCATGACAAAAGCTGCGAAAAAAACATGTGAGCTTCAAAAAATTACTACTCTTTATAATATATTTAAGCCGCATTTGGATTTAGGTTCATGTTATATTTTACTAATGATATTTTTTATCGAACCTAAAAACTATTCTGGACCACAGATATACCAAGGTTATAAATTCACCTAAGTTGAATGAAAAAAATAGGCAGGAACCAGCATTAAATTCCTTCCATATAGCACAAAAATGATAGGTCACTGCTGTCACTGGAATCTATCAGCCATTCGTTTTAAACTGGCTTTTATGAGTTAAGGAAAAAGAACCTTGATATTTAAAATCTACACTAGAAATAATGATATAACAACTTAACTTGCCCTACTCTCTCCAATCTATTTTTCAATCCGACCAAATCTTTTGCTTAAACTGTTCATCTATATTTTTCTTAATTGCTTCCTAAATCCCCGAATGTGTCTATTTTGTGGTCTGGATTTTTAAATTAACTGTCATTTCCTGAGAATGGACTTCTCAGTGTCTACTTAGGATTAATTTTTTTGTTTTTAGTGATCCTTGACTAAATGCCGATTGTCATAATCTCGATTCTTGATGGAACCAAAGAAATTAAACACGATTACGAGACAATGTAATACACTTAGGTGGTCCGTAGATTAGCTGTGACAGAGAAAGATATGTCTGCTTAATTTTCTTTCCAACCATAGTTACAAAATTAAGGTTGGAATTTTGAAGTAAATGATTATTAAGACTATGAGGCTAGCGGATAGCACACATTTGACTAGAGTTGGAACAGCTGACAAGTGTATTCCTGGAAAATAATTATCATTTGGGCCTTATTGAGAATATCTCTTTACTGAAGAATGGATATTTAGACGGAGACCATTTAGTCAAAGATAGGCAAGCTAAGACATCTTCCTATGTCCTAATTTTACCGCCATACCTTCTTTACAAAAAAGATAGACGAATTACTAAGGAAGTGGGGAATAAACACAGTGTCTAAAGGAACCCTCAGACATTCCCTTGTTATGCCATATTTTAAAGTGAAATATGACCCATTATCTAGATCCGGCTGCTTATGTGGTCGATCTTATGTTGGTGAGACCTATTTGACAAAGATTGGGGGAACACAAAAATGCTTGTTAAGGAAGCTGAGTCCAACGGTCAGAAGTAGCCGAACACATGGTAGAAACTGGTCATGAGATAGAATGGTCTCAGACTAGTAGGTTTACTGATTGTGGTACGTCTGCGGTTAAAATAAAGATAAGTGAGGCTATTGAAATGAATAGTAGGAAATACGTTGAATGTAAAAAACGGTGGTAGAAATTTTAGTAGAAACTACTTATGTTTGATTGATAGATAGAAAAAGAGGTGTTGATCCGCCATCCAAAAGAAGGTGATCATAATAAATATAATTAATATGAGATGTATTCACCCAATTTCGCTTAAGGTGTGAGGGACTGGTAGTAGAATTTTTCCACAATGATATGAGTCGAGCTGACGTTTCCATTGAATTTCACAGAGCCTTGCTTTCACAAAAGTTTTTCTTATCCAGGGTGGACTGCAGCTTCGATCTCGCATCGGTCTTATCAACACCCCCAGCAGGAGTCGAACCGTGACAGTGCAGAATGTGAGCCTGACACGCTAACCACTGCCACATTGCCACAAGTGCCCTTGGGTCACAGGGCAGATGTAAATTTCAAGGAATGCCAGGCCTTTTGCCATATCCTATTCTTTGGTGGGATTGTCGATAAAGCATACGTATAATTACTATAATAATCGACTACGTTGCTTATTATTCGTATTTAAGTAGAGTTTTGAGACTACCAGTAAATCAGAAATATGAGATGTATTCACCCTATTTCGTTCTACTACCAGTCCTTCATCAACTTAAACGAAATAGAGTGAATACATCTTATATTACTGATTTACTGGTAGTCTAGAAACTCTACTTAAATACGAAAAATAAAGATAATTAACAAAGCCATTATATATCGATCTATGTTTTTGAAATCTATTTTGGTTAAATGACTATATAGGAGGTAAGCTAGAGCCGGATTGTTTTCTTGTGTTAGTGTTAACTTGAGAATTTTACAAGAATGTGTCCCAGCTCTGATGTCCTTCATATAATGTACGTAAGCCCAGCCCGTTTTCACTCGAAACGAGGGAGGAGGTCTCGTGGACTGTGTCAATCTCAACTTCGTATACAAGTCAAACGGCTGTAGTATAACGAAATTCAACCGCCCTGTTCTGGTGAGATCGACCTTCGACTCTCTTCACACACTTTCATACGAGATAAAAGTCCAAGCCATAATTTCATATAGTTACTTGAAAATGATGCATATGAAAAATTGTAATAATTTCACTCTGTACTTTTGAGTGGCATTTATTCTTTTTATGAGGTTCTTAATGCATGTCTATCATATCATGCTTCGTTTCTAGCTTGTTATATTTTAGAAAAAGTATCGAGCTAGAATTTTTAAGGCCATTTGCTTACCCTATTTCAGTGGATCACTCAATATGCTGATCTTAGGGGCTAAAATCTTTCGATCTTAATGACCAAGATTTACATTCTATTTTTTTAACAATTTTATTGCTTGCATTCGTTAATAACTTTCCCTATGGCCGTTATTTTTCCCTTTCTTGGACAACTTGTTCTTCTCTGGAACATTTATCTATATGTACCTTGCTTAGTATTTATAGCACAACCACTGATACCCGCAATTTGACCTTGCATACTTCAAATTCCTCTAACATTCTCCATTCAACAAGTCTTTAAGATTATATAGGCATACCTCTCATCTATGTCATCACTTTTAGTATAATCTCTCTACTTCTCTTCTGTTCTTTGCTCCATTCACTCAGCTACTCACTTTCACGACCTTAATTCATGACCATCTCTTGTATATGCGTTTAACCTTCCCCATCACCTATCGAATCTTTCTGTCCAT